CTGTTATTTTCTTGTTTTGTTTTATACTTTATCTCCTAACAAGTAATGATTTTCTTCTTTTAGTTATGTTTGTTCCTTTTTCTAACAAGTTTTATAGTAACTTCTCCCTCACACCACCAAACAAGATATGTTCTCTTATAGTATATTTCTATGTATATAATAAAGTACTAGTATATTACTATGTATATAATACTCTATATTACTCATAATAATGTATTAATACTCTGCATTACTCTATATTACTCACAGCACTAGTATATTGTTATGTATATAACAAAGTAATAGTACTCAGTATTACTCTATATCACCCACAACATTAGTATATTGCTTTGTATATAATAGTCATAATACTCTGTATTACTTTATGTTACTCACAACATTAGTATATTGCTATGTTATTAATAAAGTAATAGTACTATGTAGGCTCACAAGTTTAACAAGGGGAAATAGGCTCCAATTTGATTGTCTTTCATTTATAGTTTTAGTATTAAAGCCATGAATTCTAAATTTGGTGTTTTATTTTTTGTGAATCATGACTTTATTTTGGTGAATCCTAAATTTTATATGCATTTGGTTCAATATGATGTTACATACATCATATTTGGTAAGTATAGAATAGTATATGTGATTTTATCTAAGTAATGCGCTTCACCCGAGTCAGGCGAGCGCTTTTTTGCGCCTTGCGCCTCAGGCGCTAGAAGACCCCTAGCGCTTCAGGTGCGCCTTTCGACTTTGACTACCTTGCTTTGAACATAATATTGGATAAGGATATACATAAATGGTTATTGGGTGGGGCATCAAAGTTTAAAATTACTCTTTGTCCTTTACTTATCCTCATAAACTAAAGAAGAGTTTATTTATACTTATATAGTTGGTTTCTTAGTGATATAGGTTTCACTCAAATTTTCTTTTCTTAGTCAGGTTCACATATGCAGTCCCTTGTATATCATCCTAAGGTTTAGTATCCTCTACTTATATTCACATTGTTTAGCAAATGACATTTATGTTTTGTATGGTATTACATTGCGATGACTTTTATTACACGTCTATCACTTGTGAGGTATTTAGCAAATGTCAAAATTCTCTTTGTCATATCTACTTGTTTCTACCTTCTAAATTCTAAACATTAACGGTGAAATATAACACTCCCAAGTTTGTTGTAGATAACAAGTAATCTATATATTTTTTTCTTTAATTATGTCTCTTTAAAATGCAAATGTGTACACAGTACATTACCGGGGCTATATGTAAAGTTTTCAATTACTTAAAAACTGCAGATTTAAATCCAAAAACTTGCAGATTTGTAGCTGTTTCGAGGCAAATGTATGCCTTAAATAATGAATAAATGTTTATAAAACCACATCAAAATAATGAATTGGATGAGATCAATAGAATAATGAGTTGTCTTGAGTTGTCTCTAATGTCTTTATCTTGTTTATTTGTATTGGTCTAATGTATGCTACTAGTGATATTAGTATGGATTTGAATGATAGTTCTATCTGTGTGAATCCAAATCTAAAAAGTGTTATGTATCGTTATAATAAACTCTTGAAAAACAATTTTCTATTGTTTACCAAGCTCAATTGACCGCATAAAAGATAAAGAAAATTCATCTTTCTATTTCAATATGCAATATCTACCCCGTTAAATTAAACAACTTAAAAGATAAAGTACCCAGAGTGTAAGAAGAAGTGATTCAAACAAGGAGTAATGTTTCAAAATATCTTATTTTTAAAGTATTGAATAACCATGAATGGCTTCAATCAGGGCTTTGGAGCAGTCACAATCATTTACCTTTAAACTGATGCAAATGGTGAGAGCAACAAAGAAGTATATGAATGCTTAACTCCTAATGTACTCCTTTATTGCTTGTTTGACTAAACCTAAATAAAGGAATACAGAAATCCTAGCTATAGAGCGCTCTGGTTAACAAGTAATAGCAATTTTGTGAAATTTATGGCGATGTGAATTAATAAAGCAAATGGTTCAAATACAAAACCCAATGACCGCTTGTGGTTTCTTCCCTAAAATCCTTCAAATATAATATCACTAAAGTTTACTACCCTCTTTCTTATACATGTCATCTAATGGTTAGCCTACCCTCTTTCTTGGTAGTGTTGCTCGTCAATCGTCACAAGTACCAAAAACTGGAAACTTGCGTTTATGTTGATCTGAGATGACTTGAAGTTTGTTGCACAGGTATGATAATATAGCTTCTTCAGTATTGTTTACTTTTTACACCAATGTTAATTCTTCAAGCTACTTAATGGACTATTAACACTGAATTCACTCAATTTTAGAACGAATTTGATTCTGTTGATTCCAGCTCGCTGCTAGGCTCATCCATGACTGCTTGTAAGCTTTCATACAAGATTGAAGACATTGAGAGGCTTCCTCACCTTGGAAGGATATCTCTCAGGCTTTGTCTGAAGGAGTCGAACTGTGCACACTGCTCATTCTTTAGCCAAGAGAAGACATTCAGAGGCTTACTCACCTTAGAAGGCATCTTTCGGGCATTGTCTTAAGGGGTCGAACTGTGCACACTGCTCATTCTTTAGCCAAGAGAAGACATTCAGAGGCTTACTCACCTTAGAAGGCATCTTTCGGGCATTGTCTTTGGGAGTCGAACTAAGTTCTCATATTAGTGCTTTAAATTTTTTTAATATCTCTAGTTTAGTCTCAAATGTTAGAGGTGAACTTTTAGGGTATCCCAAATGCAATAGAGATACCCCTTAGTTTATTTAGGGGTAAGGTATATGCCCCCCCCCCCCCTATTTTTATTGTATCATGTCCTTATTTTGAATAAAATTTGTTATAACACTGTTTTGGCAATTTGTCTGGAATATTATATTATTTTATTATATATATACCTATATATTCATTATATTTGTTACATTAGATAATAATCAAATGTGAAATTTGTTACCAAATGATTCTTGGGTGTTACATTTGTGTATGTTATAGACCGTTACATGTGAACTTAATCTGTAGTAACACTTTTAGTAATGTTGAGAAGACCGTTACAGTTGGCTTTTGAAATTGTTACATAGCGTTACAATAGAGAAAAGGCAACGCGAGCGAATGTAACGACACAAAAGTGTTACATTTAAGAGAATGTAACAGTTTTACAGACCAATAGTAATGAAATTGACCGTTACAAAAAGCCTCTAAATGTAGTAGTGTATTTAAAACAAACACAATGATGTAAAAATGACATTGTTTTTATAGAAAAACACATTTTTCATTTTATATGGCAATGTAATATCGAGTGTCATTACAACAAAGTGCTCTCAGCCGCTTCTTTCCTCTCAGTCCCAGTCTTAAACTCAACAAGGTACCTATAGTAATCAGTTAATCACCTTTAATCTACAAGTAAAAAACCTTAGTTTCACCATAAGGCCAGAAGTTGTAGGAATCAAGTGGGACTCAAGGAGATGTGTCTTCGCACAAGATATAAAAAGATGATCAGTAGACTCTAATCCTCCACAATGGAAAATACACTGATTACTAACCTCCACCTTCCTTTCTTGGAGATGATCAGTTGTGGGTAGATTACTTGTGCATAGATGCCAGAATTTGTTTTTAACTTCAAAGATATAAACCATAAGATTGGCAAAATCATTTTAGTTGAATAAAGTAATTGAAAATAATTATAAAAAAATGAGAAAGGGAGAGGCGAGAATGAATATTTTTTGGGCACAATGAATCTGTGAAAACTAATACTCCCAAGAAGCATCTTTAACTAATTTCATTAGGGATTGAATTTTGACTATATTATATGTTCAAATTGGCCGAAGAAGGAAGAGCTAGCAATGCAAAAGAGAAGGGGACCGATTACATTCAAATAGAAGCATGTCAATCATCTAAATGAAAGAACATTAAATCTGGAATGAACAGAAAATTATGCATTTGGGGGTGTTTGTCAGAGTTGTTTTGTGAGGTGAATGTGATGTCTAGTCTCTGTTTCACGTTACAGAAGAAGTGAGGAATCCGTAGGTGAGATGGTTGGGTGGTGGGCGGCGTTCTTGCTGCAGCTAATTAAACAGTCGCGGTCGCCGTTGATGATGCCTAGTCCAAGCCAGAACAAGAGAAGGGAGATATTAGGAGCGTGCCTAATAAATTAGAAGAGAGGGGAAATTTTGGAACAAAGGAAATATTTAGTCCTATTTGAGAGTTAAAAAACTTTGGGTCCTATTTATGAAGGTCAAATTACAAAACCTCTCTGCGACCACTACGAGATTATTCATACTCTTAATTAGGGCTGGAGAAAAATACTAAAATTTCAGTATACCATATTTACGATATAAAAAAATACTAGATTTATCGAAGATTTAGGTATACTGACATTTCCGGTATGGTATGGTACCGTACCAACTTACTTTGGTATTGTATCGGTATATGTTTTGAAAATGAAAGGTATACCAGTATACCATTATATGGAACGTGCTATTTAAATATATATATTTTTAAATTATAATAATGGCTCAATATACTCAACATTATATCTATGTTGTTTGAATTATATTAATTTTTTTGGTAGATATCACTATTGATTTAATTATATCTATATAGTTTAAATTATTTTAGCAGAATGCGTTATTTTTTAATATGTGGCATGTTGAGCTGCTTAAATATACTAATAATAATTATTGGTCAATATATTATTCTTTGTATTTCGTAACATTTTAATAATGGATTAAATATGTTGCAAGTAACACCGATTTTGTATAATTCGTTAGTCTATGATAATTTGTGTTATGGACAGAAATGCTAGGGAATTTACTGATACCGTATCGTTATCGAACCGAAACTTTGGTATACAGAAATATAGTATACCGAAATTTCGGTATGGTAATGATATATAAATTATATAAAATTTATATACCGAAAGTTTTGATACAGTAAAGATATGAGAGAAAACATTGGGTATACAATACCCAACCACCAGCTCTTAATCCATAAAAACAGACAAACTTTGTCTGATTTCACCATTTTCAAGATCTTAACAACTGTGTTTCCTTTTAAAAAGTCGTTTTCTTTCAAGTCCACGTGTATACATGCCTTACAGCCTTAGACACCAACTCACCATAGACAACAATAAATGTGAGATACTAATAATAACTAATGTTTCCGTAGCCAAAATGCTTAGCTTCTGCTGATCTGAATCACAATGGCGGCAGCAATATCTCCATCTCTTTTAATTCTCTTGGGTTTTATCGTCTTCATAGGAAGCTTTTCTGAAGGAAGTACAGAAGAAGTTGGTATATATGAGATCAGGAATGGCAACTTCTCTGTAAAGATCACAAACTATGGTGCAACTGTAATCTCTGTTATCCTCCCTGATAAAAATGGTTTGGTTCTTCATGCCCTTTTCCCCATTCTTAATATAAATAAATATAGATTTTCCTATAAGTTAATTAACCTAAGATATTGTTTTTAATCTCTGGCAAGGAAAACTGGAAGATGTAGTTCTTGGGTTCGACTCGGTCGATGATTACAAGGTGAGTTGCTTAGTTAAAGAATATATTCAAAATTCAATCTTTAATTAGTTTCCATTTAATGATTTGTGAAAAAAAGTATGAGTTTTTTCTTTTTTGCAACAAAAATGCAGAATAACAAAGCTTATTTTGGTGCCATACTTGGGCGGGTAGCTAACAGGATTGGAGGAGCAAAATTCAAACTTAATGGCACTGTGTACAAATTGCCAGCAAATGATCATGGAAACACTCTCCATGGTCAGCATTTAATTTCCTTCTTTTTTTAATCTGCCAATCTGAAAACTTAATTTGAGAATTGATGAAATGAGGTGATAAATGTTGCCTTCATAAAAACGCAGGGGGGACCAGAGGATTTAGCTATGTGGTATGGAAAGTGGAAGATTACAAGAAGGACCATCATCTCACTCTGTCCTATAACAGCTCTGATGGAGAACAAGGTAACTGTTATCTGAGCTCTAATATTAGAATTTAGAACTAATTCCATTAATATTATTCTTTAAAATGTGGTGAAGAAAAATATTACTTAGCAACTATTAGTGACTATAATTGTAGTAAAATTTACATCGTAGTAACTTACATGTAATTACTACTATGTAAATTGAATAAAATATTAGTCACGAATAGTTACTAAGTACTCCGTAATATTTTTGTCCATATTTTCTTATTAATAGTGCCAAGGGAAAACCCCCATCATATTATGTTTTGCGTTGAAAAGCTTTACAAGTTTAGATACATTAAAGAAACATGCATCTTTCAATCTTCTACATTTTGTGCTATTGAGAGTTAACACTTTTTTAAAAGTTGCTTCAAAATTGAAGTTTTTGTATAAGCTATTTTAGAGTCCATTTGGTAGCACACAAATTGGCTGATTTGGCTAATTCTGTTAAAATTTATGATGTTCTGGCTGAATTGGCTGAAATGGCTGCATTGGCAGATTCTGCTGATTAAGCAAATTCATTTTTAAAATATTTTTTTTAACAAAATAAACAAAAAATTATTTGTAAAATAGCTAAAATAATCATATACAGTAACTTCAGCCAATATAGCCAGAAAAGTAACTTCAACCTTACTTTTATGTTTATCACAGAATTCAGCTTGTAAAAGCAAAACTTACATGTTTGGTGAAAAAGTTGGCTGATAAACGGAAAAGTAGTGTTGTCAAATGTCAAACGGCCTCTTATTAGTTTTCGAACAATTCAACAATCCCTTACGGCCTTACTTTTAGCGTTACTTTAAAAATCCTTTTCAACTACTAAACACTCTGATAAGAAGTCTAAAAAAAACTTCTGTATACACTTTTAAAGCCCTTTTCAAACCGTTAAAAAGCTCACCTAATCACCTTAATTGTTGAAAAGTCACTGTTAAAGATTTCACATTTGTAAGAGATATTTAAAAAAAGTTAGTTTTTTTTAGAAGTCTCTGCGAATGGCGTCTGGGAATAAATCAGCAACCTTACTAATTTGTTTCTTTAAATGTAGTATTAAATAATACGGAGTATATTTAAAAGTACATATATACGTAGTAAAATGTACTACGTATGATATTTTAACTTCACAGTTTGATATTTTAAGCAAAACTTTATTAAGTATGATTGTTAATTATTGAAAAACTGTATTAGTTTATAATCTGAAATACTTTATAATTCATTTTAACAATCCATATATATTATTGAAATATTATTTTTTAATAAACTGTATAAACATATACATGGTATTTTTATAAACTTTATAATTCATTTTAATAATCCCTATATATTATTGAAACATTATTTTTTATAAACTGTATAAACATATACAGTTTTAACTTCAGAAGTCAAACTGAGAAATTAATTATGAGACAGAAGGGGTATTGTAAACATACTCCTATAGATATTCAAAGGAAGATTCGCTTATTTAATCTTGTAACTTATTCTTATGAAACAAAAGTAGTAATGAGTTTGTCCATATTAAAATCACATACATCGACATAATTTTTAATACGGAACTAGTAATAACTTATTAATTTTACAATAATGATTCTTTTACGATCATTTATTGGGATCTTAATTTTACACATTTTATTTTATACTATCATTGTCTTAAATAGTTGTAAAACATCGACAAAATGCAAAAAGAGAATATCATTGTCTTCTTTCTAAAATAAAGCTCATTCGGTCCTAATTGGAAAATTTTATGTTTTTTCTCATACAACTGAATAAGTCTTATTTTAGAAATAAAATATAGTCCTTAAATTAATCATATATACTAATGTACGTAGTATGTACTTTGTCTCTGGGTTACAAATGTGGATGTAAATAATAGAGAGGAAATAATAGAGCCATAGAGGGCCGTCCACAATTCCACATCATATCATGCAACCCATACACACATCATGCAACCCATACACACATGTAACATGTTACGTACTAGGGTACACTACACATTCTAATAATAGAAATAGTACAAGTCCCATTATTCTCAATATCCCATTATTCTCAAATCTCAACACATTCTATTCATAATTTAATGTAACCATTTTAACATTATTATTTTCGTTACTTTCTCTAAGTACACTACTCTTTTACTATTTTGGAATTAACTCTTTAAATCTCTAACTTGATATGATAGTATTATTTTGCAACTTGAACTTACATATCTCAAGGGTTTGGAGTTCGTACTTCCTAGAGCCCAAGATTAATTCAGAGAAGTCAAGATTATTTGATGCAAACAAATTCAACTTGCACTACTACATTTAGAGGCTTTTTGTAACGGTCAATTTCATTACTATTGGTCTGTAAAACTGTTACATTCTCTTAAATGTAACACTTTTGTGTCGTTACATTCGCTCGCGTTGCCTTTTCTCTATTGTAACGCTATGTAACAATTTCAAAAGCCAACTGTAACGGTCTTCTCAACATTACTAAAAGTGTTACTACAGATTAAGTTCACATGTAACGGTCTATAACATACACAAATGTAACACCCAAGAATCATTTGGTAACAAATTTCACATTTGATTATTATCTAATGTAACAAATATAATGAATATATAGGTATATATATAATAAAATAATATAATATTCCAGACAAATTGCCAAAACAGTGTTATAACAAATTTTATTCAAAATAAGGACATGATACAATAAAAATAGGGGGGGGGGGGCATATACCTTACCCCTAAATAAACTAAGGGGTATCTCTATTGCATTTGGGATACCCTAAAAGTTCACCTCTAACATTTGAGACTAAACTAGAGATATTAAAAAAATTTAAAGCACTAATATGAGAACTTAGTTCGACTCCCAAAGACAATGCCCGAAAGATGCCTTCTAAGGTGAAAGATGCCTTCTAAGGTGAGTAAGCCTCTGAATGTCTTCTCTTGGCTAAAGAATGAGCAGTGTGCACAGTTCGACCCCTTAAGACAATGCCCGAAAGATGCCTTCTAAGGTGAGTAAGCCTCTGAATGTCTTCTCTTGGCTAAAGAATGAGCAGTGTGCACAGTTCGACTCCTTCAGACAAAGCCTGAGAGATATCCTTCCAAGGTGAGGAAGCCTCTCAATGTCTTCAATCTTGTATGAAAGCTTACAAGCAGTCATGGATGAGCCTAGCAGCGAGCTGGAATCAACAGAATCAAATTCGTTCTAAAATTGAGTGAATTCAGTGTTAATAGTCCATTAAGTAGCTTGAAGAATTAACATTGGTGTAAAAAGTAAACAATACTGAAGAAGCTATATTATCATACCTGTGCAACAAACTTCAAGTCATCTCAGATCAACATAAACGCAAGTTTCCAGTTTTTGGTACTTGTGACGATTGACGAGCAACACTACCAAGAAAGAGGGTAGGCTAACCATTAGATGACATGTATAAGAAAGAGGGTAGTAAACTTTAGTGATATTATATTTGAAGGATTTTAGGGAAGAAACCACAAGCGGTCATTGGGTTTTGTATTTGAACCATTTGCTTTATTAATTCACATCGCCATAAATTTCACAAAATTGCTATTACTTGTTAACCAGAGCGCTCTATAGCTAGGATTTCTGTATTCCTTTATTTAGGTTTAGTCAAACAAGCAATAAAGGAGTACATTAGGAGTTAAGCATTCATATACTTCTTTGTTGCTCTCACCATTTGCATCAGTTTAAAGGTAAATGATTGTGACTGCTCCAAAGCCCTGATTGAAGCCATTCATGGTTATTCAATACTTTAAAAATAAGATATTTTGAAACATTACTCCTTGTTTGAATCACTTCTTCTTACACTCTGGGTACTTTATCTTTTAAGTTGTTTAATTTAACGGGGTAGATATTGCATATTGAAATAGAAAGATGAATTTTCTTTATCTTTTATGCGGTCAATTGAGCTTGGTAAACAATAGAAAATTGTTTTTCAAGAGTTTATTATAACGATACATAACACTTTTTAGATTTGGATTCACACAGATAGAACTATCATTCAAATCCATACTAATATCACTAGTAGCATACATTAGACCAATACAAATAAACAAGATAAAGACATTAGAGACAACTCAAGACAACTCATTATTCTATTGATCTCATCCAATTCATTATTTTGATGTGGTTTTATAAACATTTATTCATTATTTAAGGCATACATTTGCCTCGAAACAGCTACAAATCTGCAAGTTTTTGGATTTAAATCTGCAGTTTTTAAGTAATTGAAAACTTTACATATAGCCCCGGTAATGTACTGTGTACACATTTGCATTTTAAAGAGACATAATTAAAGAAAAAAATATATAGATTACTTGTTATCTACAACAAACTTGGGAGTGTTATATTTCACCGTTAATGTTTAGAATTTAGAAGGTAGAAACAAGTAGATATGACAAAGAGAATTTTGACATTTGCTAAATACCTCACAAGTGATAGACGTGTAATAAAAGTCATCGCAATGTAATACCATACAAAACATAAATGTCATTTGCTAAACAATGTGAATATAAGTAGAGGATACTAAACCTTAGGATGATATACAAGGGACTGCATATGTGAACCTGACTAAGAAAAGAAAATTTGAGTGAAACCTATATCACTAAGAAACCAACTATATAAGTATAAATAAACTCTTCTTTAGTTTATGAGGATAAGTAAAGGACAAAGAGTAATTTTAAACTTTGATGCCCCACCCAATAACCATTTATGTATATCCTTATCCAATATTATGTTCAAAGCAAGGTAGTCAAAGTCGAAAGGCGCACCTGAAGCGCTAGGGGTCTTCTAGCGCCTGAGGCGCAAGGCGCAAAAAAGCGCTCGCCTGACTCGGGTGAAGCGCATTACTTAGATAAAATCACATATACTATTCTATACTTACCAAATATGATGTATGTAACATCATATTGAACCAAATGCATATAAAATTTAGGATTCACCAAAATAAAGTCATGATTCACAAAAAATAAAACACCAAATTTAGAATTCATGGCTTTAATACTA